CTACTATTATTATTCGGTCACACATACCAATAACTAATAACATCAATCCACAGGTAGGTAGGTAGGTAGGCTCGCCCGCAACCGCGTTGTATTCAAACATACCTAGCGAAATGTGGACATGTCAAGTATTGCGTTCACCACCACGGCCACAGTTGACAATGACTCTGACACTGACCACCCCGTGTGAGATAACAGTCTTGAAGATTATTTTTATTTTTTTTATTGGGTTGTTTGGGCTATTGTCAGATGTTTGTAGCACCTGTAGCACTGCGACCTACATAGATCTATTGTGCTCGCCCTTTTTCAATGTTCGCTACCTAGACCCGTCAGGGACAAGAATTGAAGGATATTCTTAGGAGCGATGGTTTTTATCTCCTCAGGATAGAGTGTAAACTTTCCAAAGGAGATATTTCGTTTATGCATGAGTGGGCTACAACCACATAGGATGTGTAGTGGCGTTTCCTCTTCAGTTTGGCAGAATCTGCAGATTTTTGTCGTGCATAGGCGCAATTTTGCCATATGCTTGTTTAATTTGCAGCAAAAGTCTTGAAGATACTATATTATGTTATATAACATATATATACGTTATATACACTAATTCTAAATACCGATTTTCGTGATTTAGCCCTTAAGCATACCGCTTTACTTCTAATGGTCGCGGGATCGATTCCTCGCACGGCACAAACATGTGTAATCATGAGTATGATTGTTTGTATCGGTCTGAGTGTTCACACAAACTCTAGTTAGGTTGGGACTAGATGGCGCTGTGTGAATTGTATAAAGTTATTATATATATAAAAATATTACTTTTAACGATAATTGCGTGGACGGCGCAGTATCGATTGTTGATTTTGTTTCGGATTACTCTAATGCTGTTGGCCGCAGCTGGCCTTTACTGCTTCACCGGACGATAGGGGGCGAGTGCAGATGGCACTCCAAACCAAAGGAAGGACTTATGGAGCGGCTGAAGGCCAACTCCCGCCTGACGGATACGACTTTAGTCTGATGGCACCGCTAGGGGTTCGAACCTCGGTTCAAGCTGTCGTAATATCAATCCCCGTTTGAATTGGACGGGGCATCGATCGAAGGGAAAAACTCATACTTATAATTTATATAGAGAAATTATTATGCTAATATTTTTTTAATTATACATATAAATGAAGTAAACCAATAAAAAATTAATTTTATAATTTAATAATTATTAATAAAAAAACACTCCCATGTATCTGACACGCACACGTATCTTTGTTCATTGACTTGATAAAGTCTGTAGTCAAATTGAGAATAGATTATTATTGTCTATCTAAAGATATTTTCAGCCTTACCAAATGTAAAATATAATAATAATAAATTCACTATTTTCTGAGGTCAATATTTGCGATGCGTCGCCTTAATTACGGTCGAAATTCGACCACCTGGCGACCACTTTCTTTCTGTTCCTATCTGCTAATAGCTTTTGGCTATGACCAGATTTATTATGTTAGTTATTATCATCATCTGCTTCTTCCTTATCCCATTTATTTGTGGTCGTCGTAATATGTTTTTCTCTTCCATTCATCCCTGTTCGCAGTCATCGCGTTATTTACTCCCTTTCTTACCATATCATCTTTCACACAGTCCATCCATCTCTTTTTCGGCCTTCTTCTCTTATAACCATTCACATTCATATGTAACACCTTCCTTAAAATATTATCTTCATTCCTACGCATTACATGCACATACTAGTTATTATATTAGACTAGCTGGACCCGTCAAATGTTATTTTGCCGTGAATTAATTTAGTTAAGGGTCAAATATAGGGTTGTATGTATTCTTAATGCCACGTAATAAAATACAAAATATATATAACTTTGTCGAAAATTAAAAAAAAATTTGCCTTGAGCCACCCTTAAAACTAAGGTGTATAAAAATTCGTTATAAAACTACTGAATATACATATAATTAATTATACATATATTTAAATTGATCAAGACGTTTCGGAGGAGTATAATCACGAAATCTGTGACACGAGAATGTTATATACTAGAGTGTTGTGTGTGTGTGTGTGTGTGTGTGTGTGTGTGTGTGTGTGTGTGTGTGTGTGTGTGTGTGTGTGTGTGTGTGCGCGTGTGTGTGTGTATGTGCCTTTAACGCTAAAAGTTGTATCTGTCTATCTATATTATTAAATAAGGTTTTATAAATCAAGCTGTTTAGCGGCTGAACTAGGTGATACTAAGGTAGACATGCAGACGAGTTTTTATAGTGTGATTTTATTCTCAGTTCTTATCCGTTGTATCTAGTCTACTTGCGGTGCGGCTAAGGCAATTTGTTCACTGGTGAGGTAATGGAGTGATTGGTTTCCTAAATTTAAAAATAAAAAAAAATTCTAGTCTACTTCTAGAAGATTTTAGTTTACTTTAAACAAGGAGAGAAGAGAACATTTACTACATTATGCCAATATATTTCACAGATCCAGGTAATATGTACATAAAACATAAGTAAATTAGCATTACAAATGTTGTTTTCCATAAAAAACTCTCTTCCATAAGGCATAATGTCGAAATTTAAATAAATCTACGAAAAAAATATGGGATATGTAGAGGGATGGGTTTAGGCGAGAATGAAACAACTTTTATATATGGAATTTAAAATAAAATTAAATAAAATAAAAAAAATATTAATGTTAAAATATATTAATTAATTAATCCATAACAGACAATTATGACAAGTCTAATTATAATTAATCTCCGGTGTATATATGAGATAGTGTAAGAGAATATTATACTGTACTAGCTACTCGCCCTGGCTTCGCACATGTACATGTATTATACATATAAACCTCCCTCTTGAATCCTCTATCTATTAAAAAAGGCCGCTTCAAAATCCGCATCCCAACCTGCACCTTCTTAGGACTGTACGGCTTCATGTACTTGCACTGAGGGTGAAGGAGTCATAAAAACCCACCCTCTTAGGAAACCCCCCTTGTAAAATATGCCATATCGCCAACTGAAGTAGCTAGCCGAACTGGACGGTAGGGTGATAGTGGTAAAAAAGTGACCTGCAGAAGACGCCTAAAGGTTCTATGTGAATAAATGATTTTGGATTTTACTATTTTTTTTATAGCACAGGGACAAACGAGCATGCGTCTCACCTGATGGTAAGTGATCACCGCCGCTCATGAGCACCCGCAACACCAGGGGAATTGCAAGTACGTTTTAAAATAAGTTCTGTTCTTGAAGGTTTCAATATCGTATCGGTTTGAAAATACTATTGCTGGAAGGTGATTCCACAACGTGGTTGTACGTGGCAAAAAGTTTCTAGAAAACCGCACTGTGGAGGACTGCCATTCATCCAGATGATCGGGATGATATTTTAAATAGATTTTATATAAATATTTGTAACGAAATACGAAAGTTTAAATATTAAAATGTGATCAATTGTAATATGAAGGGAAGGAGAAGGGTAAAAGTTACTGAAATTGGTCGACCACTATTAAAACCGTCCACCCCGTCCAATTCAAACGGGGATCGAAATTACGACGGCCTGAACGGAGGTTTGAAACCCTAGCGGTGCCTAACCCTAGCAGGCTGGCGTCGTATCCGTCATACGGGAGTTGGTATCCAGCTGCTCCATCGCATCCTTCCTTTGGTTACTTCAAACCATTTGCACTCGCCCCCTATCGTCCGGTGAAGCTGTAAAGGACAGCTGCGGCCAACATTAGAGTAGTCCGGAAAAAAGAAGATGATTATAATAGCATACAAGCCGCCGGTCCACCTGCTAGTAAGTGGTAACAGTCACCTATAGGGGGAAAGGGGATTGTCAGTAATGTGAACTGATGATCTTGTTGCAGTGTACCATGTCAGGTTGACATCCACGCGGTTCCCCTGGAAACCATCGTGATACATTCTTGCTGAATTTGTCACGATTATAACTGACCTAAAAGATCCTCATCTTATCATCCTCCACTGGTGCCCCGTCAGCGTAAACCGTTACCGCAGGCGGGTGCACCATTCCATTATCATCCATTAAAAAAAAGGTCCACCCCAAAAACATATAGTTCCGAATACAAACTTTTATTTGCACTGTGCATGTAATTCATAAGTAGCAGAAATAAAAACAGCTAACACATCTTCCATCTTTTGCAATTTTTAAATAGGATTATACCACTATCGAAAATTAACATCTATTAATTACCCTTTTTTAAAAAAAAACCAACAGAGAAATATATATATTTACAAATAATATGTACTTATAAATAAGGTCAATTAACAATCAGTATTACAACACTAAAGGTACAGATAAATGTTTTTAAAGTATTAATATATTATTGTTCTACGTATGTATCCACAGTCTAATTTATACAATATAATAATCAAATTTTACTAGTAAAAGAACAATACTTCACAGCATCTCATAGTTCGTTACTACGAAGTAACAACTTCGCAGCAGTAGATTTAAATTTTTATAGGTTACTCAGAAATAATGCGTGGGTTTTTATTTAAAACGCATTATCGCAAAATAAAGTATTAATAAGTATAGGTTCATTATTTTTCACTAAAATACCTGCCTTTTTTATAAAACAAATGACCTTTGTATGGTGTCATATATCAAAATTGTATTTAAAATATTTAGCAGTTTGAAAAAATAATAATCGTAGCTTAATATTGTAAAAAAAAAGTATTTACCACGACAGTAATGCGAACACTAGTTTAAGTACGTAAATTTTGAAAATCTGTTGTGGAAAGGTCATATAAAGCTTTAAAACTATTGTGTTAAAATAAAATATCCGATTAAACAAATCAGTATCGCAGGTACACCACTACCCCGCTATAGGTGGTAACATTATTTGAAAATTTGACATTTACACCTGTCATTTTAGTCTTTAGGGATTAAAAAACAGACTATAAATTATACCATAGAGCATACATAATAAATGCGCGGGAAAATCATAACCTCAAATCGTATACTGTGAATAAAACCTTATGTCACACTCCTGCTGAATGTCGTTCTATATATAAAGCCAAGTGCACATTCAGGACACTCAGTGCAATCTGTTACGCGGCAAGCTTCGATTGTGTATTCCATTTTCAAAAAAACAAATGGAATGAAAGTTTCCGGTATGTTGTTTTTTTTTATTTATTTCAAAGTCAAGGACAAATAATTTGTAATTGACATTTGGTGTAGAAATTATAGCTGTGCATGCGTCTTTGAATAAAAAATTTTGTTTATTTAAAACTGTGTATCAACTTTTTAGCATTGTATTTTTGTAAACAATAGGTTGCAACAAAAATCATTTATTGATGTAGGACATTTTAGCCGCTTATGAACGTATTTTTTTTTTATTAATATTTTTCCTTACCGTCCAGTTCAATATCAGATTCAATTGAGAAGAACTGGCAAGAAACTCAACTGAATTTCTTTTTTTAACTAATTAATACATTAAATCAAATAATTTCAAGATACTAGGTTAATCCTATACCGCGATACAGTCAAAATATTGGTTTGTCATATCAAGTGTTGCATTGCATGCTACAGACCAGTGTTTCCCAACGGGGCCCATTCCCCGGAGGGGGTCAATACGATAATGGACTCGACGAATTCGTTTCGGACCATTTAATTGCAACGCTAGATATCTGTGCAAAATTTAAAGAAAAAAGCAAATTATTAAATAATTGCGTTAAATAATTATAAGGTATAATTTCGTTTCATGTGTAGTTGAATTGGATTTAGTGCTTGCTGTATTTTTTTTTTATTTATTTAACTTTAATGCACACTGTTGTATCTGGCTAATTATAAACTATGTTATTATGTCATAATCTAAAGAAATAATAATATTTTATAGTGAAATATCCACTATAAAATACCAAAAAGTAGCAATGTAATTCGTTACGCGCGAATCAGCTGTTATAAGGTCAAATATCGGTGCACAATACCCGCGTATTATATAAATAGTGCTTAAATATCTCTGGATGTCTTTAAGAGAAAATGGCAGTATGTACGTGTATATGTACAAGTCATTAAGTATTAAGTTTTTCAAATGTACAATAAAGAATAAATATATTTAAGTACAGTACTTACGTACATTAATATAATACCTACTTTTTACTTGTATCTATTGTTATCAAAATTAAATTATAAGTTCTTAACTTGACCACGACTATGTGACCCTCTCTTGGCGCCAAAACGAGTGAAAAAATAAACAGCATACGACGACGACGCAGTACCTATAGAGTGGAGCAACTGCTTATTCAGTTTTATGCAACTATTTAGTCCCTCGACCGTTACAATGAATGGAGGCGGATATTACAATGTATGTAGCATTGCGAATATAAAATATCTAGATTAGTAAATTAATAATTGATAGACCGTTACGGTATCTATATATATTCGGATCAAAATAAGTATCGCAGTAAGGACGAGTATATAAAGTGATCAACACAAGTAATTGATTTTTAAAATATATTCAGAGCCAAAAAGTCTTTGTGTATTCAAAAAATGTAGCCATTTGGAGCCAGTGTAAAAAATGTATCGAGTATATCGTACTATCGACGAATATATATGGCCACATCGCAAAATAGAATGGGACGTTGCCATACCGAAAGAGGTGTTATATAGGTTATATATATATATATATAAAATAATAATAAATATTGCCGTACTATAAGTACGAGCTCCAGCCGGTCCTCGAAAGTGACAGCGTCAAGCTCTGACAGGCTGGGACGATCCATTATCACGGACAGGACCGTTCTTGCGAACAAACCTAATATCGTGGTGATGGATCGGGCACTTTCGAGGGTGTTTTTGGTGGACATCACCATACCGCATGACGAGAACCTCGTGAAAGCCGAAACTGAGAAAAAGAGAAAATATCTCAACCTGGCTCACGAGGTGACCGAAATGTGGGGGGTGGTGTCCACCGAAATCATTCCAATCGTTATGTCGGTGAACGATCTTATCCCGACCAGTCTGGAACAACATCTCAGACGGTTGGGATTCCGGGGCGGCTCACTCCCGGGAAAAATGCAGAAATCGGTGCTGTTACATTCTGCCCACCGGTCATTCTTGTACGCCGGTTTCTCTCCCTGGGGCCCTGAACCCCGGCCGACTCCCGGCAGCGTAAACCGTTAGCGCAGGCGGGTGAACCATTCCATTATCATCCATAAAAAAAAAACCCCGGCCGACTGTGCTTCTGCCGGGGGTATGTTGCCATCTCCTCTCCTCTCTTAAGGAGAGGAGATGAGAATTTTTGAAAAAAAAAAAAAAAATAATGAATGATGAAATAATAATGAATTTAACACCCCATCAAAGGGAGATATAATATATGGATATATATATATATATATATATATATATATATAAACCGTAATAATAATATAACTCACATATGCACCACACGCGCACACACACACTGCACGTACTTGGTTTTGCCCCGTAAGTGTGGTATACGCCACAAAGCGTAAAACCCCAGCAAAAAGGCTGAGAAAGCGAAACACACAAATAATAATAATAATAATAATAAATCCATTTATTGCCAATATGAGTATAGTTATATAGTTACACATTTATACATATTTAATATGATTGGCAATAGGTACAAACTCAGCTAATAGAAATTCATTTATTCAAATAAACTTATATTGAAGCAGTTTTGAATAGTCATCACTTTTTTTCAATCTAAGAATTGTAAAAAGGCACAAAAAGGTTGGGAAACACTCCTATGAACTATGCACTATATTAGCACTATAGTTTTACGACGACCTCGGTGGTCTAGCGGTCTAGCACACCGCTTTACGTCCGATGGTCGCGGGTTCGATTCCTCGCACGGCACAAACATTTGTATTCATTAGTATGATTGTTTGTATCGGTCTGGGTGTTTTCTATGTATAATAAGTATGTATTTACGAAAAAAAATATCTATGTATCTGTATCTGTTATCTAGTACCCGTAACACAAGCTTTAGCTAGCTTAATTTGGGTCTAGATGGCGCTGTGTGATTTTTCCTGAGATTATTATTATATTATTATTTTTGTATTATTTATCTTTCTTTGTTATGGATGACTTTTTTACAATAATGTAACACAAGGTGTTATTATTAATAATATTCTCGTGTCACAATGTTAGTTACCATACTCCTCCCAAGCGGCTTGACCTAGCAATCCCTATTTTTTAATATGGATTTTAATTTATATGGCAAATCAACGTTTATAGGGTCATCTAGCATTATAAATGAAACTCTCTTTTGCCCGCGGCTTCGCTCGCGTTAGTTTATCCCCTTAGGGGTGGAATTTCTCAAAATCCTGTCTTAGGGGATGCCTATGTCATAGTAGCTTTATGCATGCAAAGTTTCAGCCCGATCGGTTTAAAATTGACAAAGTTTCATACAAACTTTCATCCCTTTGGGGATAGAATTAATCAAAATCCTTTCTTAGCGGATGCCTACGTCATAACATCTACCTGCATACCAAATTTCAGCCCGATCTGTCCAGTGGTTTGGGCTGTGCGTTGATAGATCACTATGTCAGTCACCTTTGAGTTATATATATATAGATACTTATCAATAAAAACGTAGATTTAATATTATGACGTTGTTTTCTTTTATTTGTCTACTATACAGTTGTGTTTGTATGTATATTACATACACGTGGGGAGTCAAATATCATAAATTAACTTCACTTCCTTATATTATATATTAATTACAATGTTATGTGTACATACATATACATACATATACATCTTAAATATCATTATTACATAGTATAAAACTAAAGTCACTGCCGCTGTCTGTCTGTCCCTATGTATGCTTAAATCTTTAAAACTACGCAACGGATTTTGATGCGGTTTCTTTTAATAGATTCGAGTGATTCAAGAGCAAGGTTTATATATATATATATATATACATCACAAGTTTCTTGCTCATTCTTCTTGTGATGAATCTGCATTCGGAATGAGTGGTAGAATCAAAATATGACTATTCAAAAGTGCTTGTAATGAGTTTATTTGAATAATGATTATTTTTCTATTTATTTCTATTCTATTTACATATACACCGGTGCGAAGCCGGGGCGAGTAGCAAGTTACTGTTACTTATAATATTTTTATATTTAATATTTATAGGAAGGTTTATATATGTAAATAGAATAGAAATAATATTTATTCAAATAAACTCATTACAAGCACTTTTGAATAGTCATATTTTGATTCTACCACTCATTCGGAATGCAGATTCAGGCGAGTAGCTAATATTATTATAAACGCGAAAGTTTGTGAGTATGGTTGTTTGTTACACAAAAACTACATAAAGGATCTTGATGAAACTTTACAGTAATATAGCTTACGCATCAGAATAACATTTAGGCTGTATTTTTTATTGAAATTTAACACAGGTGTAACCGCGGGCACAGATAATATATAATAAAACTAGCTGACCATCTAGCGGTGCATCCGATAATTTAAAAATAAGGTTTCAGTAATTATTTCATGCTACACATTATATAATTGACTTCTTCGCAAACGTGAAGCTGAATAAGTAAATATCTCATATATAAAATTCTCGTGTCACAGTTTTCGTTCCCATACTCCTCCGAAACGGCTTGACCGATTCTCATGAAATTTTGTGAGCGTATTGAGTAGGTCTGAGAATCGGCCAACATCTATTTTTCATTCCCCTAAATGTTAGGGGTGGTCCACCCCTAATTTTTTTTTTATTTTAAGGCAAAACAACGTTTGCCGGGACAGCTAGTATCATTATAATTTTTTAAATATGGGAAGAGGGAATTCTTACTAATGTGGTATATGACTCTATAGCTAGTACTATGTCATCTAGACCTCCACGCGGCCCCCCCCATGACACCAATGTGATAAGTTCCTGATGAATTTGCCACTATAGGCTCATTGAATTATTATTTTGACGGCCTCGGTGGTCCAGCGGTTAAATAGATCGCTTTACTTCCGATGGTCGCAGGTTCGATTCCTCGGTACAGATATTTGTATTCATGAGTATGACACTTTGTATCAATATGGATGTTTTCTATATATATTGTGTATATATGAATAAAAAAATATCTAATTATTTATATCATTTGTCTAGTACCCATAAAACAAGCTCGGCTTAGTTTGGGTCTAGATGGCGTTGTGTGAATTGTCCTGAGATGATAATATTATTATTATTATAGAATTACCCTTAAATAAATCATATACATCTGTTAAATCGTATATACTGAGCAAAGCCTATTACTCACTAAACGATTACTTGAATGACGAGCGTGCATGGCAATAGTTGTTCATGCACGAGATTTTCATTTAATGTTAGACATAGACACCTATATAAATATACATTGTAAATAAACTGGCTTTAAAAAAACGAATTTCAATTGAGTTTCTTGCCAGTTCTTCTCAATTGATTCTGTATACTGCACTGGACGGTAAGAAAAAATATTAATACAAAAACTTTGACATTCATAAACGGCTAAAATGTCCTACATGAATAAATGATTTTTGAATATAAATTTATGATTCTCCACTGGTGACCCGCCGTAAACTGTTAGCGTTACCATAGACGAGGGCACCATTACATTATCATGTAATAAAAAAATGTGTAATAATGACTGCGTATTAATGTGTGTAAGGTATAGAATGACATGGCGCCTATTGAAAGAATTACTGACGCGGCAATTGTTGTTTTGCGCGTCGACCTTGATGCGTGAAATTATGTAGGTCATAGACACATAGAAGGCACGACACGGCACTGACATTGACTTTGTCTATGCTACAGTTCCATAAACAAACATTTGTATACCTTACTAATCATAATTCTTACTAGTGAGCGTCATGATAGTGTGTACATAAATCATCATCATCATCATCTCAGCCCAGAAGACGTCCACTGCTGGACATAGGCCTCCCCCAAAGATCTCCACGACGATCGGTCCTGCGCTGCTCGCATCCATTGCCTTCCAGCGATCTTGACCAAATCGTCGGTCCACCGTGCTGGAGGCCTTCCCACGCTGCGTCTTCCGGTCCGCGGTCGCCACTCGAGGACTTTACTGCCCCAACGGCCATCTGTCCTACTATGAATAAATAAATTATATCCCATTATTTGGGGTCGGCGCAGTACTTACTAATAATAAAAAAAATAAAGATTATGGCCAATCACTACAAACAATGTCACCACGGTAGGAACAGGCCGACCAATCCGGTGCACTAGCGGCCGCTCGACCGCTCGCTATTTTATAAATATGTCAACTGTACCAATAGGATAGGACCCCTCCGATCGATTCCCCGTTCAATTCAAACGGGGATCGATATTACGACGGCCTGAGACGAGGTTCGAATCCCTAATGGTGCTCTCAGACTAAAGTCGTATCCGTCAGGCGGGAGTTGGCGGCTGAAGCGCTCCATAAGTTCTTCTTTTGGTTTGAAGTGCCATCTGCACTCGCCCCCTATCGTCCGGCGCAGCTGTAAAGGCCAGCTGCGGCCAACACAATTAGAGTTGTCCGAAATCACTTACTTTACTTACTTACTCCGGTAGTCACTTACCATCAGGTGAACCGCAGGCTCGTTTGTCCCCTATGCTATAAAAAAAACCATCAGATTAGTTGACATTCCAGTTACATAAAGATAATTAAAAAATAAAAATTTCTATTTTCAGATATAAAATAAGGAGACATGACTTGTACAATAACGATGGATTTAAAATTTCCGGAACGGTCAACGTTGTTGAAATGTCACGACGCCATCTTGAATTCGGAATTTAAAAATGACATTTTGTTTTTTTATTTCAACTTGACGCGCAGGGCGTTTGTCATGGTTCACGAGTTGTGTTGCCAATATGCATTATTTATTTTTTTAACTGTGATCTTGGTATTATTGTTGTATGTTATTTATAAATCATTTTGGAATCCAGTATTGTATACTAAGGTGAGTTTAAATCTATATCGTCTTAATATTATGAATGTAAGGCTTTGAGAGGTGGATATTTATTACATTTTCATGCAAAAAATACTGGACGAATTCTAATGAAATTTGTATATTTAATTTAATTAAGTTATTTCGGTAACTTAAGTTAAAGTATCACCGCTTGATTACTTAGGCAGTGCCACTACTTTTAATGTAGGAATTACTTTATGTAGATCCATTCTTCTTGTATTCAAACGCATATTTCCCTAACAGATTCTTATAGGTGTCTGTTTGTTAAGTCTGTCAAAAGAACCTAATTATAAAGATTGATTGAAGACAAAATTTTCTGTTGCCCCGCTAAGCAGATTTCAGTGATTACAACGCCATCTAGTTTGAGTGAGATAACCACCACAATATATATTGAGTTAATAAATATTATTTATGCCTATAAACTTGAAATAAATATATAAATAGTAAAGATTAAATGTAATTATAATTATGATATAAAATGTATGTTCTAGAAGTTTGATAAAATCATGTTTATTTTTGAATACAAGATATAAGTTCTCATTTGATCATAACAGTCTTAAGTTGACCTACTGACTTTAAACATAACACCAGTATATTGTGTGGACAGTCCAGTTTGTTTTAAACATTCAAAGTGAAAAGTACATAGAACAGAATAGAATAGAAAATCATTAATTAAAATAAACTTACATTGAAGCACTTTTGAATAGTCATCAAATTTTTTTTATTTACCACTCATTCGGAAAGCTTTCTCATCACAAGAAGAACGAGCAAAAAACTTGTGTGTTACTGTTTATATAAGTGAAATAAGAAATTAATATGCGTATCGTTGCTGCTGCCGCCCCGTAATATTTCTCTTACCGTCGTCTTAATTGACATTCTAATATAAATGAAATATTTAAAAAAAATTCAGGAACTGACGGAAATAGGCTTCGAATACATAAAGCATGGTCCTGATAGAGCGCTCCGAATTTCCCGAGCGCAGAGCGCCAGGCGTCTAGGATCTAAAATACCACCCCCATACCCCAACGGGTGGTTTGCCATCGCAGAGAGTTCCGCGCTACAGATCGGTGGGGTCATCCCTGTCGATGCTCTTGGTAAGTAACATTTTTAAACTAAACGTGCCAACGAGGGAACCTACCGCCATCTCTCGGATTGCTTACTTTATTGTCAGTGTTTCTATCACAGCAGCATAAATTTCATCTCTCAAAATACCACTGATCATCTGGATGATTGGCGGTCCTCCACAGTGCGGTTTTCTAGAAACTTTTTGCCACGCACAACCACATTTTGGAATCACCTTCCAGCAATGGTATTTCCGAACCGATACGATATTGAAACCTTCAAGAAAAGAGCTTATTCCTTTTTAAAAGACAACATACTTCTAATTCCCCTGGTGTTTCTTCACTTACCATCATGTGAGCCGCATGCTCGTTTGTCCCGTGTGATAAAAAAAAATCCCCTGGTGTTGCTAGTGCTTATGGGCGACAGTAATCACTTACCATCAGATAAGCCGTAAGCTCGATTGTCCCCTGTACTATAAAAAAAATTAAATAAAAAGGACACAAATTATTTGTCGACTACATTTGAACTTACAATCTTTAAGTCGCCGGAATGGGGATTAATAACTCCATTGCTTGTTATGGTATTGTAATGTACCATGTCAAGTTGACCTCCACGCGGTTCCCCCTGGAAACCATCAATATAAATTCCTGCTAAAATTGCCACAATGTGCTAACGAACCTGACCTCATGCTCATCGTATCCTCCACTGGTGCCCCGCCAGCGTCATTATACCCTTTCTAAGTCCGAAGCTAAAACCTGTTACGACTACTACTCTCGTTCTGTTCTACATACCTTAAAGTTCCATCTGCTTGAATTCCAGGTCAGAACCTATGCGTCTACCGGGGAGAAGATGGTACAGCCAGATGCGTCGACGCGTACTGTCCTCATTTGGGCGCAAATCTAGCAGTTGGCGGGAATGTCTGCGGGAACTGCATTGAATGCCCTTTCCATAAATGGAGGTTTGGAGAAGATGGAGCCTGTGTCAGTGTACCTGGTTTAGAACATGGTGAGTGGACAAAGAAATAAAAAAGAAAAAAAAAGAAAAACAATTAACAGTCCGAACTGGACGGTAGGGAAAAAGTTCATAAATATCAAAAATCTCTTTTAGGAACAATTGATTTTACCATGTATTTGAAATACAGTGTTCGGGCCACGAAAAAACGAAGTATAATCACAGTATTAAGATTACCTAACTCAAAAACTATCAGTCTCATCCACCGTATTCATATGGGACCACGCGAGAAGCAAAATCAATTAAAAAAAACATCCAAATCGAACGTAACTATATATAACTTGAAGTGATGGTCATTGGGACTACTTAGATCAGACATCCGCCCCCCTGTTAAAATATTGTCGCCTTATAAATAATAATAATAATAAGTGCACGTGATGGCTTATGAACAAATATCATCCGTCATACTCGTGAACGAGTGCTGCTTGTAGGGACTGGACTGCTCTTATCACTACGAAAACTGATTTAATCTTATTGAATACTATATATATATTTGACCCTAAAAAAAATTAGTGCTGGTTGGTAGTTTGTATTCACACGACTGATTTTCTTATTGAATATTTATATTTGTAGTGCTGGTTGAAAACTTACAAGGATTATTTAAAAGAGCAACACACAAATTTCTTGCTCGTTCTTCTTATGATGAGACAGCTTTCCGAACGAGTGGTAGATAAAAAACTAATTGTTATGACTATTCAAAAGTGCTTAAATTAAGTTTATTTGAATAAATGATTTTCTATTCTATTCTATTCTATCCTTTTATCACAGCTCCTCGAGGAGTCTCCATCAAAACCTGGCCAACAGTAGAAGCCGATGGTGCGGTGTGGATCTGGCACGACGCCGAGGGTCGGGATCCCCTGTGGGAACTTAAGGATGCACCAGAATTGAAGAGTTGGGGATATAGGGGAAGGAATGAGTTTGTTATCAGCGCTCATATTCAGGTTTGATCATCCTCTTTTATTTAGATAGAGTAGTATCCGGAGGAGATAAAAACCATCACTCCTAAGAATATCCTTCAATTCTTGTTCCTCACGGGTCTAGGTAGCGAACTTTGAAAAAGGGCGAGCACAATAGATCTATGTAGGTCGCAGTGCTACAGGTCATGCACCTGAAATTGCCCAAACACCCCCAATAAAAAAAAATATAATTACATAGAGTAGTTCCCGCACTGTTTATTAGTATACTAGTGTACATCACCCGGATGTTCCTCATTCGCAGTTCGCAAGTATCAATAACACAAGCTTTGCTTAGCTTGGTACTAGATGGCGCTGTATGAATTGTTCAAGGATATTATTGTAAAACTTTAGGGAAGAAATTCTCGAAAACACTGACAACCGTATTAAAATCTATTATGTGGTTTAGAAGAAATAAATAGTAAATCATACATACCGAACAGCGACACTGCTTTAACGTATTTAAAAATTAGATTATTTACATATTTTCAGGAGATACCGGAAAATGGAGCTGACGTAGCTCATCTGAATGCTGTGCATTCACCATCGCTCCTGACGCAGTTGGGTGAGAAGTACCCCATACTTCTGAATTTTATAGGTAACTACCTCACCATTTACCACTTTTTAGGATAATTGCACGAACGAAGGAGTATGAAATTTCGCACACATAGTTGAAGCTCTTTAATCTATCATTATACTACCTATTTGCCCCGGCTTCGCACGGATATACATGTGTAAATAGCCGTCAACAATTTGGGGTTTACTTCATATGTACCTAGCAATTAGGTACGCGTATGTCTCATGGATATACCTACTAATTATAACTCCTCAAAGGTTCTTCAATAGAACCAAAGGCCACTGTGAAAAACGTAATGCAAAACACCACTGACCTTGAGCCTGACGCGGCACTTCACACGCTGTACAGGTGCCGGGGCACGAGCCGCCAGCAACAATTACTTGAGTTTAGATCACTAGAGCTTGACGTGATTGTCCACAACACCAGCTCACGTAAACACTAGGCTAAATACAGCTTTTTAGGGTACATTTTCAGTATATCACGAATGAATATTGATTTATAATGCAAATATGCGTCAGAGACTTCTTTCGTGCAAGTTAATGCGCCATATTTTGACGAAATGGCGGGAACCAATCACAGCGCCGACAGTAGCGCTTCATTAGTTCACGCATTGAACTATTCCCGCAGGTAATTCTGTTGTAGAAATATGTAGTAAAACTATTTATGACTGGAAAAATGTATTTAACGGTAAGATGGTAGAGAGTGAGGTGATAATTATATAATTTTGTTTTTATAATTTTGATTAGAGAATACATGAAAACTTAAAATATATCAAAAGAGTTTCTCAACAAATTCAAAGCAGAAAGTGTTAACACTACGCCAACACAGATGGCGCTAGTGGTATTTTGAATTGCCTTTGGGGCATCAAATTAGTAGATATATTTTGTAATGAAACAAGTCTTACGCGCTCGACTAACATGTATTATATATATAAACCTGCCTCTTGAATCACTCTATCTGTTTAAATAACCGCTTCAAAATCCGTTGCGTAGTTTTAAAGATTTAAGCATACATAGGGACAGACAGCGACAGCGACTTTGTTTTATACTATGTAATGATGATTTCGCCTAATTTATATAATATATAAAATTCTCGTGTCACAGTTTTCGTTCCCATACTCCTCCGAAACGGCTTGACCGATTCTCATGAAATTTTGTGAGCGTATTGAGTAGGTCTGAGAATCAGCCAACATCTATTTTTCACCCCCTAAATGTTAAGGGTAGTAGCCACCCCTATTTTTTATTTTATTTTAAGGCAAAACAACGTTTGCCTGGACAGCTAGTATAATATATTTTTGTAATATAACCTATATGTTTTCTGTTCTGGTGTACAAGATATGTTACTGTAAAGTTTCATCAAAATCCATTTAGTAGTTTTTACGTGAAAGAGTAACAAACATCCATACATCTATCCATACATACTTACAAACTTTCGCATTTATTATTAGTAAGGTTTTGTTTTAAAAAGCAGACAACCCTAGAAATATCTATTATGGATGGATGTTTAATAATGAAAGAATCTCGAAATCATTCCGAAGATATGTTTCATTCGGTAGATTTGACATATCATAAGAGTCTGTAATAGACCTACATGAATAAAGATATTTTGTATTTGTATTTTGTATTTGTAAGTATTGTGCGTACGTATGGATGGATGGTCCATCCAACATTTTATCATTTTGACTTCGGCTTTGAATTTCAATATACATGTGGGTATCTAGTTACGCCAGTGTCTGTAAATCTAGGACAGCACGTTTGGGCAGCAGACTGGTCGAAAAATGAGGACCATACGGCCTCAATGCAGTTGACGCATGATTATAAGATCATGAAACTGAATCTCTTCCACGTGGATGTATCCATTACTCAGGTATTTATATAATAATCTATATCTATACATATAAATAAAATTGGAGTGTCTGTTTGTAATATTGAAATTACCGTTTTTTACTACATGCACATGAATATAAATACGTACATACACCAAAAATTTTTTTTTTACAATTTTTGTCTGTCTGTCTGTTTGTTCCGGCTAAACTGTGAAATGACTGGACCGATTTTGACGAGACTTTTTTTGGCAGGTAGCTGATGTAATAAGGAGTAACTTAAGCTACTTTTATTTTAGAAAAATAAAGTAGGTCCGCGGACGAAGTCGCGGGTACAGCTAGTAATTTATATAAATGACGGCCTCGGTGGTCTAGCGATTCAGCACACCGCTTTACTTCCGATGGTAGCGGGTACGATCCTCATACAAACTTTTGTATTCATGAGTGTAATTGTTTGTATCGGTATATTTACAAAAAATGTATCTATTTATTTATATCAGTTGTATAGTACCCATAACACAAGTTCTGCTTAACTTAACACTCTAATTTACAGATACAAACAATCATACTCATGAATACAAATGTTTGTATCATGCGAGAAATCGAACCCGCGACCATCGGAAGTAACGCGATGTGCCAAATCGCTAGACCATCGAGGCCGTCAAAATCGTTATATTCATCACAACATTGTCCATGTTGACAATGTCTCTAACAATCTCATTTAGGATAATTGTCGGTTTGACGGTATGTTTGTTTGTTTATTCAGATTGGACCGGGCCACGTACGACTCTACGTTCAGACCCCAGTGGGACCTATTCTTGTATCGCAGTCAGTTACACCAATAGGTCCATTACTTCAAAAAGTAGTGCATAGATTGTACTCACCGATTTACAACGCACCCGTCGGCGCCATCTTTGTGAAAATAGAAAGTTATATGGTGAGTAGAGTCATCTGTTGTCGAATAAAAACTGACATTGTTAGTTGCGCCATCTATTGTCCAATTAAAAAAATTACATAGTAGCGCCATCTATTATCAAATAAAAGATTACATTGCTTGTAGGACCACATACGTCCGATCGGCGGTAGGTGCCTCCGATAAGTTCAGTGTGGCGGTAGGCTTACACCAGGGTTCGGCTCTAAGCCCTTACCTCTTCCTCATTGTAATGGATGCTCTGACATCGGACATTCAGGACGAGGTACCCTGGTGTATGCTGTTTGCCGACGATATTGTGCTTGTTGGTGAGGATGGAATCGAGGTCCAGAGTAGACTAGATAGATGGCAAGAAAAACTGGAGAGTGTTGGCTTGAATATCAGCAGAACTAAAACTGAATACCTATTCTGCGATTTCGGCGGTCTCTCCAGTTTCAAGCCTATCTATCTAAACGGTGTAATGCTTCCGGTCTGCTCCGATTTTCGGTACCTCGGTTCAGTTATTCAGAACAACGCCGACATAGACCGCGATGTAAGGCACAGAATTACTGCGGGATGGATGAAATGGCGACAGGTCTCGGGAACGATATGCGACCCCCGAATGCCCTTGAAACTAAAGGGTAAAGTTTATAAATCTATCATAAGACCTGTCATTTTGTATGGATCTGAATGTTGGGCCGTAAAGGGGATGGACGAAAGGCGTGTGCATGTGGCAGAAATGCGAATGTTAAGATGGATGTGTGGGGTTACCAGGAATGACAGAATAAGGAATGAGTATATACGAGGAAGTTTGAAAGTTGCGCCGGTTATAGAAAAGTTGCGAGGTAACAGATTGAGCTGGTATGGGCATGTTATGCGGAGGAATGAGGACCATGTCTTATGGAAAGTGTATAATATGAATGTGGATGGATGTAAAGGGAGGGGACGCCCTAAGAAAAGATGGATGGATTGTGTGAAAGATGATATGAATAAAAGAAGAGTATGTTTAGATATGACGACTGATAGAGAGCAGTGGAAGAGAATGACATACTGCGCCGACCCCAAATAATGGGATAAAGGCAAGGCAATGATGATTGCTTGTAGAACCATATATTGTCGAATAAAAATTTTCTTGGTGAGTAGTGCCATCTATTGTCGAATAACAAAGTTACATTGTTAGTAAATAGCGCCATCTATTGTCCAATTAAAAAAATTACATAGTTAGTAGCGCCATCTATTATCAAATAAAAGATTACATTGCTTGTAGGACCATCTATTGTCGAATAAAAATTTACTTGGTGAATAGTGCCATCTATTGTCGAATAACGAAGTTAGATTATTAGTAAACAGCGCCATCTATTAACGAATAAAACAGGTATATGGTTAGTGGCGCCATCTATTGGCAAATATACGCAACCTTGATATCAATAAAGTTGTCTTTGATCTCGTCCGTCGTATTCCTGAACGGTGTTGATGGTAGATTTGACTTATTATAAGAGTCTGAAACTACACGTAGGTATAAAGATATTTTGATTTGCATTACAAACTAAATTCGAAAAAGTGTTTTTAAGAAATAATCATTTTCTTTTTTTTTACAGTTCGAACGCGATGTAGCCATATGGAATAATAAACGATTTGTCAGCGCGCCGTCTTATGTACGGACTGACAAACAGATAAAAGCGTTTCGCACTTGGTTCTCGCAGTTTTACAGCGAACGTAGTTTGTCATTTAAAGATGTGATGCAAAATCCTTTGGACTGGTGAAGTGATTTTTAGAATTATAGTGGAATAGTGCCTGCTCCAATCTGATCTCAGCATTGGAAGATAATAGCATGAAGTCAGGTCAGTGAGCACAACGTGGGGAATTCACTAAGAATTAATTATGATTTCCAAAGAGTTCATGTAGTCTGTTGTTGGCAATACAATTTAAGAAATAGTTTTTAGTTACATTTCTAAGTTATCTGTGACACACTATTATCTCTGGTAATTATATATATTTTAAGGTAAATTTTTTTTATTATTAAAATTATATTACGTTTGTAAAAAAATAGGAATAATATTTAATACACTATTATTACTAAAATAATAAAATATATATATGTATATATATAAGGGACGATAGAGAAAAAATATAATATAAAAATTAGACGTTCATAAAATGTCCTAAATTAATAAATATTTTTTTAATTTTAATTCTCAAATTAGTAAAATTCCAACTACACCATGATTTCATGATGATTTCACCATGGCTACAGCATGGAGACGTTGATATACTATTTTGTTTATTGTTAAGATACATATATTTGTTATTGTTGTATATAAAGATGTTCTTGTACTTTTTATTATGGTCGAATTTCGACCACTAATCGGGTCTTAAAAAGCCAGATTTGTGGTTAAACGTTGTTATCATTGGGACTGCTAGACCCCAGGGGCGGATCGTGAATTTGTGGGGCCCTGGGTTAAATCTACTTAGGGGCCTACCTAATTATATTACTCGACTATAAAAATACACTGACCAAAAACAAGCGACCAAAAAATCCCCCGTTCCTTTCAATACGCACACTTGCATGAGTTGATTGATCTCAGGGTTGCCAACCTTATGATAGGTTTTTAAGCATTCTAGATATTTTTTTATATTCTAAATATAGTTTCAGTGTGGACTGGGGAACCTTTGTATCCTCGGGCTGCAGCCCAAAAAGCCCTTAGGTAGATCCGCCCCTGCTAGACCCCATTACCTGTTGTAGATATATATACAGTAAAACAATTTATTTAATGGTAGACACTAAAGTGACATGTATGGAATTATGTTTTATAGTTTTGATTACAGGATACAAAAAAAAAATAAACTTTAAATATATTCAAAATTCAAAAATCATTTATTCATGTAGGACATTTTAGCCGCTTATGAACGTCAAGTTTTTACATTATAATTTTTTTTCCCTACCGTCCAGTTCGGTATATAGATCCAATTGAGAAGAACTGGCAAGAAACTCAATTGAATTACTTTTTTTTTAAATCCAGTTTATTTACAATGTATATAGGTGTCTATGTCTGACATTAAATGAAAATCCCGAACATGAAAACTATTGCCATGCACGCTCGTCATTCAAGTAATCGTTTAGTGAGTAATAGGCCTTGCTCAGTAAATTTGTTTAACAGATATTCATCAATATATCCTGTATCTTAGACGATTTTAATTATTATTTTATTCATCTCACTGTAAGACGATCTTTAAATATTTTATTTAAACTTATCGTGGTTATTAACTACTTTCAAATACAAGACAGTCTACCCTTGTCATCTACTTCCACGTCAAATATGTCTCCGGTTGACCCTGGAAACCACGGCAATAAATTCCTGGTGAATTTGTTAATATTAAAAGAGTGAGAGATGTAAATACTGTGTGAATTTTATTGTTAGACTAATACATTTTAGAGATATAAACAGAATTATGTACCTCAGTAGTGTATATACTGTATATATAATTTTTTATGGATTATGACATGGATTCTGGTAATGGTATGGTACACCTGCCTGCGTTAACGGTATACGCTGGCGGGGCACCAGTAACGCCGCCACGGAGGATATAAAATAGGTCGCGCAGGTGCGCTTCGCGCCCGCTGTCCGCGCGCGAGAACATCGCGCGCGTGAGATCAGGTCGCGGGCGATCACGGACGTTGCACAGACGGAGTATATCGTGACAATTAACAATTTATCACAATGGTTTCCAGATGGTCTATAACAATGTACCATGTCAGGTAACCCTCCACGTAACTACGTATGATCTTAACGTATATTATGTTTTCCAAATGGCAATTTATCACGATGGTTTCCAGTAAATAAAGCGAGGACGACATCCCTCTCTCCCTCTCGGGTCATCCCTCAAGGTGGGGATGGAGATCAACCTGACATGAGTCACAGTTCTCGACCGAAACGTAAAAGCTCCGGCCCGAGAGGAAAGCGTCCACTACTCGCACGTATGCTGACGGCGTGTTGGTGTAGTCCACATTGCCACACACTCGAACTATAATCCCTATTGTCTCAAACATAAAACAATTTGAAACTTACCTAGAAGTTAGTGATTTTCAATGTACCAAACGATAGTTATTCGAAATGTGTGTTGGTGACAATAAAACAAATATTTTTTTATGCATTTTCTTTTATTTTGCAACATTACTTCGTTTCCTGACTAGAACATTTTGATTTCGGTGTTATAGAAAACAAGTGGAATTGTATAATTTATGATTGTAGATTGTGGTAAGATATTATTATTTTATAAGGTATACTATATAAGTATGAGTCAATATTGTCATAAAAATAATAATAAATTGCCTGAATCAAACAAATATTTTTTTACTATACAGCGCCATCTATGAATCGATAGGCATATTATTGAAATATTTATTGAAATTTTGTTTATACCAAATGTTATCAAATGTGTGGGTGACAATTAAAACAAATATTTTTTTATCTTTCTTTTATTTTTATTCTTAATTGTATATAGAAAACAAGTGGAATTGTATAATTGATTGTAGATAGATATTATTATTTTTAACTATATAAGTATGAGTCAATATTGTCATAAAAAAAATAATAAATTGCCTGAATCAAACAAATATTTTATTACTGAACAGCGCCATCTATGAATCGATAGGCATATTAATATTTATTGAAATTTTGTTTATAATGATCAATACAAATTATTAACTATATCTCTATTATTCTTAATTATATATCGTAGAAGTTTAAATTATTGATAGTTTGACTGACTTTCATATTACATCTGTATCACCTGTCACAAATAATTCCCGCCAAATTTAATTTTCAAGCGCAGTCGCCGCTGCTGTCTGTTCGCTTATATCTTTTAAATTACTGAACGGATTTTAATGCAGTATTCAGCAATAGATAGAGTGATTCAAGAGGAAGGTTTATATGTATAATACATGCGTGTTATAGTATAGAACAAGCCGTGAAATTCAAAGATTTGTAACGCATCCGTGTCAAGCTGGGATGAGTTGATAATTACTATACAAATAAATAAAGAAAAAACAGAATTGAGAGGCTTCTGCTTTACGATATCGGTTGATATTCTTCAAAACTAGTACATACAATGTACAACATAGTTTATAAGATGTTTACTAACATAATATGAATGGATATCCGAAATAAAATAACTAATAAATAAAATATGTAATTTAAATTCCAGCAGATTTGAATTCATAATAATCAATAAACCCATCGTTGTTTCTGTCGGCCTGTTTCATCGCACCCTCGATGATTTCTTCTAGATCCGCCTCTCTGTACAACACAGCAGAATCCAATTCTTTGCCATCAGAATCTAGATAATATTAAAAATAAAGATTAAAATGATCCTTCTTATTTAAAAATATATTTTATATTAAATTTATCATTCTTATTTAAAAAACTAGATAAAATAATATATATATATATATTTCATTCGTATTTAAAAAAAAACAAATATAAAAATTCAGAGCAAATCTAGTCTGTACTTAATTATATTTTTTTGCACAGAGTAATTAACGTTTTATAAAAATTGGGAATGTTACGTTTAGAATCGTTGTGGGAATTGAACTAAAATTTTATCTATGTAACAATCTATAATAATAATTCAAAAAGGAAAAGTGCGCACAGATTCACAATAAATTTTGGTTTGTGGTTTGTAAGACGGGCTTCATATTGCCACAGATAAAATAATATTACGGATAGAATCTAAGTAATGCAATTCCATTCTGATAAAAAAATTATTTCACAAATTCAAGAAAAAATATGTTTTGACCCTAGTGCCTAGCTTAGATTCGACTTTATTCATTGTTTTAGCGCTTGCTTTTTCTCTCTTTCTCGCACATCTCTCTACTATACTTAGGAATACATCTGACAGGAAAGAGAAGGAGAAGGAAGGAGATATTGACAAATACTTTGACAAAATTCCCTTTAGAACTACACTTAATCTCTAATTTAAATGTCTATATTTATATATAAAATAGAGATGTACTAACTCGTAATAAACATGACTCGAGTTAACTCGAGTTACCTGGAATAAAAAGTTTTATTTTATTTTTTCGAACAATTCTAATGTTTTTGGGCGCAGCTAGCCTTGAAAGCGTCACCGAACTATAGGGGGCGAGTAGAAATGGCAGTTTAAAGCCGCGGAAGGACTTATGGAACGCATAGTCATTTTATTGATAAGATAATCGGAAGAATCTGCAAAAAAAATGGTAACAACCTCAAATCAATATTGAAATATTTGTGACGAGTGAAAATTGTATGATATGAAATGATCGGAAAATTTCATGTCATTGTCAGTTCGATAACAGAATCATGGTCTCGCTCTTTCACTTGATTCATTCATTTACCAGTTGAATTCCAACTCGAGTTGGCAGAATACAACTCGAGTTAACTCGAATTATGCGCAACTCGAGTTGACACATGTCTAATATAAAATAGTTTTTAAATATATGTTACTTACCAATCACTACAATTTTCCTGAAACTGATTAATAAAACGAACAGAAATGTTTTTATTATTTTATTTTAAAATAGATATTTAATATTATACTAAAATGTTTGTACCTACAATAAATTCGAATATATAAAAGTTTGTATTGCGAATTTATGTTAATAATGATTCAAGTAAAATTAAAATTTATTTACTTACTCTATAATGGCTAAAAAAAAAAGATATTCAGTTGAGTATCTTGGCATATCTTCTCAATAGAATCTATAAACTGAACTGGATGGTAGGGAAAAAATATTAATAAAAAAAAGTTGACGTTATAAGTTAAAATTTCCTAATTGAATAATTTGTTTTTAATTTGATTTAATTACATACTGAAAT